TCAGAAAGACAAAGTCGCAGTTGGAGTATTGTCTGGAGTGCTGAGCATACGTCGACTGCAGTACACTTCAACAAATTACATTTGAGGACTTTGACTAAGCGCCATCTGTCATGAAGTTTCACCACGCCTGGTTTACTTCTACTGCTGCTAAGCCTCCATGAAAGTCACTGATGAAGCGTCATTTGTCTCTGTCTTGAGTCCTCCTTGTTTCTCACTGAGTTGATCTCTGTACCCGTGCATATTTTAGACACTTCATTTCACTCTAAAGATTGGTGCCATTAGGAAAGAGACCTTACAGCAGGTGTTGGGCTCCAGATCTGACCTTGTTGCCTCTTCCTTTAATTGGTGCTCTGCTTGTATAAAGAACAAACTCTAAAATATTCATAACTTGCAGGGAGATATTTGCAAGTTAGCTGGTGTATACCACTCCCCAAAGAATATTTACTGTTAGAGTAATCACACTGGAAATAAAACACTGTTTAAATATTACTGAAATAATTAGTATTGTAATTAAAATAAGAGCACAGGTGTTGGCTGTTATTATTTTACATTTTTTTTATAATGTAAGTTCATGAAAATACAATTAGCAAATTAAAAAAACCTTCATACACACTGTGTTACATGCAGTCTGCAAACATAAAACCAACGTAGTATTCAAAGGAAAGCTAACGCTAGTGCATTCCCACTCTACTTAAACTTTTTAGTGCGCAAGGAAAAAATACTATGATCGCCTTGAGGGTAAACCTGCCCCTACCTGGCAGTGCAATACCATGTTGCTCCACCAGGCCAAAGTTCTAAACTATGGGATATCAAAGACAAAGCCAAAAACTGGTTTAAACCAGAATGCAGTGGAATGAAACTCCCTGTTGTTAGTGTTTTAACTTAAAATTATTCTCATTACAACTAAATGAGAGTAAAATCCCCACAGTGGATTGATTATTAGTCCACTTGGGTTGTTGACGCCAACTGGAGGAGTGAATTCTGTGTTCCAGTGGGGTGTTTTTATTCCTGTTGTGCACAGCATTTTAAAACGGCTTATTTGCTCATATTCAATGGAGGTGGGAGTGAAACCCAACACACCCAGTGGAGATCCACCAGAGCGATCATGTAGAGAAACACCACACTGTGTTTCCAATAACTTGGCCATGAAGCACACACTTCAAGGCAGAGACACTCTCTTTCAAAGTTTTCTAAGGAGAACCCGACTGATCTAAAAGCACATACATTTTTTATCAAATGGAGACGTCACCCAACCCAAAGAAGAAGAAAAAAGAAGAAGTCCTTTTTAAAATTCAAAACTACATCGGTAAACAAACAGTGCCACAGCTTCATTAGCTCCGTACAGGTCCTGAACACTGCAATTAATCTAACAGCACCTCGTCATTTCATCTGATTGCTGAAACACTCAGGGCATTAACAAACACAAAGTGACTGTGTGATGTGGATCTACCTGATGGTTTGGTTACATCAAGATACATTTGAATCTTTATGACAGACGGTAGGAAATCCAACCATCTGGTTCACTCGGTGTCCGCGTCCACTCACACAGACACAGTTATGTGAAAAAGTGAAATGTTTGGCAACTAAACAATATTATTGCTGTTGCCCAGAGGACAGTTTTTATTATTAAAGACTTTGTGTCACATTTCCATTAATCCTCTGAAAATCGTTTTTAAGTATCCTTAAATCCGCTAGCCCAAGTTGGCAGAAACATTTGTAAAGACCAACACGCTGCGAGCTGCAGCACAAAAACAGCCATTTTGATCATTGATAAAATTCCTAAAGAGCCAATCAAAGCATTTAGACCATTAAATGAAGTCAGTAGTTCTGTGCATAATGTGTCGAATACTGAAGTATTATTACAGAATTATAAAATAAAAAATAAATTTATACTATACTGATCCCATATTTGGGAAATTGTTGTGTTAGCAGCAGATATGCTGGTAACAGCACAAAAAAAGCACAATCAGTAAATTTAGTGAATAAAGGACCCAATGGAAAGGGGCTAGAGAAGGGTCTAGAGCCACGGGTTTTAGACCTTACACCCTGGACACCCTTTATTGGACAAAATAACAAGACAAACCATTGCCTATCCCTGTATAATACCATGTCAAACCATGATACCATATTAGCATGAATAGACAGGCACACGAACTTCTAGCATGACTGTAACTCTGGCTTCTTCGTGCGTCTTCCATTAACTGCTCTTCTGTTATTATTGTGCCATCTAACATTTTCATATAGAGTATTTGTAACAAGCAATGTGTTTGTGTGTTCTGCACCTAGTATTTACTATGCACACACATTAGGAACAATCTGGATAATGAACCCTCAAAGCAGTGAGGTACTGTTAAAACAACTTTCCAGCAGCACACTAATCCTCCTACTGACACTGGCTTTTGTCATTATGCTTTAATGCCTTAATAATGCATTTTTAATGCTTTGTTCCGTGCAGCCATGTGTGGCAGATGATTCCTTTTCTTTATGTTTCATAGCTGTTCCTAATGGTTTTTTTTTTACATTTTAATGTTCTTGGTACAAGAGCAAATTTGTTTTTAAAGTAATGAAAGTTTTAGCTGAAGTCATGTTGGTGTTCTCTGACCAGCAGCTCCAGCTGCAGCCCACCTGCACTGCAGAACACCACCATTCTACATTTGAACCACCAACCAAGGACAGAGACGGTCATGAGAAGGTGATGCCTTCACTGTCCTAGCAAAATGTTGTATTGTCACATTCTACCCATAGCTAAAGCCATCACCTTTGACTGTTGTGTGATCTGATCAGCATTTACCGTTTAGATAAAAACAACAGAAGCCCTAGGAGCAATAAAATCCACCCAGTCATGACAACAAAGCTGTTTTAAAATTCTTACTCCATGACACTGATCATGACTGGAGCAGAAGGTCGACTGTACATCTAAACTGTCTGATTTACAACCAAAACCTACAATATTTCTGCTTACACTGTTATAGTATATTAAGGTTAGCTGTGTTGGTAGCATGCTGAAGTTTAAAATTAAATAAAAAATGAAGTCTGTATATAAAATATTCCTTAAAGTTCCGAGGTTTTCACAGCATGTTCCTCCTCTGTTGTCGAATGTGTGTCAAATCAAATAGAAAGAAACAGTGTAACGTTGAAATCAACCACTTAATTCACTCCAAACATGTTGAGACTATTCAGCGTTAATCCTTTTGTAAATTCCTTTGTTTCCGTCTGCGTCTCCCCCTGCCTCTCCCTCTGTCTCCCTCACTCACCCTCGCTCTCTGTCACTTTCCCAATTTAATTTCCCAGCTTGAATCTGTTCAGTAGACAAAACATTGCCGATGTGGTTCCTGAAATGTAACATTTTCTGCCAGTCCGTCTTTCTCTTCCTGTCTTAGTGTTTCTGCACTGCCTCACGTTTACCCCCCACCAGCTCCCCCCGCGCCTCCCCCTCCTCCTCACCCCCCGCCATCCCATCTTGAAGACAGAGTTGCGTTGCGGCTCTGTGCTCCTAAAGAGTTGAAACTGTCGGCCAGGGAAGCGGTGAGATGGAAAAATTTAATCGCATTAAGAGAAAAAAAAAACTTCTCTTTTCATTTGTAAATTCCTGGGGCACGCTTTTCATCCACCTTCTTTTTTTTCTTTTTACACCTTCCTCTCTCTCTCTCTCTCTCTCTCTTTTTCTCTTTCCTTGCCCCGACACGGCTGCTGAGCTCGGAAAACATCCGCCTATAGGTCCCAGCATGTGCACACACACACACACACACGCAAACACACACACTACTACACACACACACCGCATACTAGGGAGGAACAAACACACACATATTCAGTCTTTACTTTATTGGAGCTGTTTGACAAACCAGGATGTAGGCCTCTGAATAGTCAAACACACACACACACACACACACACACACCCTCCACACACACACCATCACTTCCCTAACTGTAATCCAACTTAATTCGACTTACTTCTCCGACCTAATATTAACACTTCATACCTAATTCTAGTAAAATACTCCTTTTTGAATTTATATTCTTCCAATAAATGTCCTCACACGTACAGCTATAAGAGGAACACACACACACACACACACACACACACAGTAATTCCTTTCCATTTTTCTCTTAAAAAGCAATGATCAAAGACAACTTGACAGTCGCCTCGTTCTCTAATCCAATTTTCAACATTTTGCTTTTCTCTCATCCTTTATTCCATCTTCCCCCTCATCTCTCAGTCCACCGACGCTTCACTATTCCCTTTATTCACTTTACATTGAAATTAATGATTTTAAATGTATTAGTAATTCCTGCATGGTGTTTACAAACAGAAACTTTATATCTCTCCCTGCAGGGGGTGCTATAAACAGACACTATAAGTATATTTGGCTGTAGAAAATAACCACTGGATGCACAGAACGCATTCAAGCCAACAGTCAACACCGACACCTAACAGTCAACGCTAAGGTCACTGACCTTAGGGCCAGGGTACTATGACACAGACCAACTAAGGCGTCATTTGACACTGTACATACATAGTACAGGTACACACAGTACCAGTACAGGTTTATGTAGGAAATTCACCTTCTGCATATAACTCATCAAAGTAACAGGAGCAGTGAGATGCTTTTACTGCCCCTGGGAAGACAGGGAGTTTTTTGTGCTCGCTCAACACCTCACAGCCCTTCACTGACGCAGATTCAAACTGACAAACCAAAATAAAAACACCCTGTAAAAAATAAAAAGCCAAATCACCTTCATATTTTGCCCTCAAAATGTAAAAAATGCATCCAACAAAGCCAAACATAGACAGCCTTCTCTATCTGTGGTATATAAACAGCAGCCCTGGACCCTTTCAGTTGCATTACCGCCATCTACTGGCTCAAACATTTTCACAGAGGGCAGTGTTTCTGGACTCTCTTGTGTAAATCCTGCTGACATCCAGCTCACCTGGTTTGGTTCTGTCCTTTTTTATTTTGATTTGAATTCTTTTCAGTGCAGTTTTTTTTGTATCTCACCTGGTGTTGCTCTTTCAGGCGCTCCAATTCCCACCTTGTGTAACCTTCCTCGTCTACCTGCTCCTGACTGCTGTGATTCCCTCCATGGTGATCACCTGACCATCCCCACCTGTGTCTCGTTAACCCCTCCTCTGTCTGTGAATGCACCCCCCACTTTTCCTCTTTTTGTTACCAGTTTTTAACCTTTAGTCTGAAAAAGCATTTCCTTATACCTGCTGTTTGTTGGGTTTTTTGTTGTTTTTTGTTGTCTGTTTCTTTTTTTTTTTTCACCTTTGAGCCTTAGCTCAGTACCTTGGCCTTGTGTCTGTTGCCTTCCTTGGACCTCTGCCCGGTCCAACTGACGACTGACGATTGTCCGTCATGACGTTGTACATCTGACCATCTTCTCATTATTAAAAACTGGTCTGTCTTACCAACAATACTGCCATGTGTTTTTTCTCTTTCTTCATACCCTACCTTTAAACTTTCTGAAGGACTAACTTTGGAACCTTTCAATTTTAGCACATTTTTGCTAATTGGTTTGAGGATTAGAGATAGATTTATTTCAC